ACGAGAACACCCTGTTCTCGTTTTCCCTAACACCACCTCAATTACTACTACCTCCGCAGTTGGCTGGCACCTCGCAATGTCTCCTCCAGTTGTCCACCTCCGCCTCCAGCACCACCACATCGCTGTCAAGACATCAACTTTTCGCTTTTCGCCTTGTCACGACATTCCTCCTCTAATACCACTTAACACATGTTAATACTATTATTACTGCAAGGAGGGGCATGGCGTGCCGTCCAATTACTCTTCTACTTCACATCTCAAGTAGGGCGCACATGTCTTTGGTTATTCCCAGCCTTCAGCCAGTTCACTCCTCTTCTACCAATTCGCCATCACCTTGGTACGCCTTACCACTACTATTTATTGTTGACATGTCAGCTATATACGCTTTCGGTTTGTAGATATGCTTGTCATTCCCTTGGATGATGTCGACTTATTCGAGCAATTGTTGGAGGAGAAACTTCGTCGCATCCTTCATTTAACCCTTCATTTTCTCTGCGCTGGACTAAGCTGGGCTGGGCTGAACTGCGACTGGTCCGGCTCAGCTGTTGTGGAGGCGATACTTGTTGCCAGTGGTGTGAACCAGCAGCCCACTGGAGGTAGTTTTGAGCGGATGTGCAAGCGGCCTCGTGACGTGTCGGTGAGTTGAGAAGGTTGCGCTTCATGCAGTCTCTTGTCCACTGTACGCCATATTTTCATTTTTATTTTTTTTTGTAATGTCCTCGTAAAGGTGGTCAGGCGTATTCCTCTGCTAGATGCCTTTTCTGCAGTTGGCCTAATTCCTACCGTGGGTCAATTTGAATTTAACTAGTTGATTTTTTTTCCACTTTACTTCTTTTTCTGGCACATTATTTTTTGGATTGAAGAATATTTGGCTTCTTATCATAACCCAAACAAGAGTCTAATTGGTCGAGTGAATTTCAAAATATTGTCTACTGGTGGAACGTGCCTAAAATGTTTAGTCAGTGAGATGTAATTTGAGTATTCTAGTGATCGCTGCAAGTTGGCCTTTGTAACATGGCCTCATCGGGAAGAAATGCTACCCACAGAATAAGATTTTAGAAGACATCAGATTAGCCCTGCCGTTTTAGACTTGAGACTGATGTTTCCTACATCTTTGTGCAGTCTCCATTTCTTCATTTATCCACTTCCCACTTTTTTTCATCATCTTCCATCCATCCATCCATCGACCTATTCAGGTGAATATTTCCGGATCCAACACTATGTCCTTGAGCCACTCATTCCTTTGCATTTCGGCAATTCATTTGTCATAAATTGATTCGTCCTTCTTAACCCATCCATCTTTGGTTTGTCATTTCCTCTTTCATTCCTTCATTATGTGTTCTCCAAACAACCCTCGGTACTACAATTTCCACTTTATCCACCCACTGATCGTTGAAAGTGGTTTCTCGCCCACTCATCCCTCTACAATTTGGATGTCAAGAGGATAAGCATGATATGTCTTCGCGATGGTATACTTGGCTTTTTCTCCAACTTGCATTGGCCAGTCCGCGCATCTGAGTAGGCAGTAGCTGCATCGGTTACGCTGTGAGATCATTGCCACAACGCGTCGCTTAAGCCCCCACCCCTACTCCGCCTCCGGCCTGCCTAATCGGCGGCCTCCCCTGTGTGCGTGTGTGTGTTTCATTTCATCCGATGAGGTCTCTTAACGCAACGACAATGTTGGAAGAGGAGGGCAGGCGTTGGGGAGCGGTGATTAGTTGTTGTCAAAGAGCAAGTTCTCATCTCTCTTTCACCCATCCGCTTCTGTAACATCAATTCATGTTTTTCTATTCCATTTTAGCGTTCCTCAATTACTTCAACCCTTTCATACAAGCCTATCTACTGATTTGCGCATTTTTTTCTCTAAGAGATGATTCCCCGTCTGCCATGCGTCTGTCTTTGATTTATTTACCCACACTGCAAATTCGTCACATGTGTATTTGTTTCTTATTCCAACACCCAATCATCATCTATACCTAAAAACCTTTATTTATCTACTTGACTTATCTACTTTCGATGCACTTAATCTCCCCCAAATT